AGCTATTATTGGAGACTATCAACCAGAGATTTTTCTGGTATGGGATTCTTCATACATTCCTCATTAAAACCTAAAAGAAGTACATGGGACCTAGGGAATTTATATATGTATTATTCTAAGACACAACTCCTATTACTTGAAATATACTCCCATTTTCTAATCTACTCATTTGTTCTTTTAAATTGCAAGTTAGATTTCAAAGTTATTTTACAACTTGTGGGTTGAGATGAGTAATTCAAAATACTATGATTTTGATGAAAGACTTTGATTGTTTATATAACAAAAGTAAATGTAAATGCAAATGTTCTTCAAATTAATTTGCATAATGTCTTGCACCTTGCGGTGGGGGGCGCAGAGCAGGGTTAGAATCTTGGGTTTTTGGTTAAGTCAAAGTGCTACCATCCCACTCACCTTTCAGCCCACACTGTTAAGGCAGTTTCGCAACTTGCTTTGTTGTCCAGCCAAACATTGACTTGAGGTCTCTGATATTTTTCTCATCAGATCCAGGATTGTAATATAGGTCCTACAACTCTAACCCCAGTACTTTTGTCACAAGAACGTACTTCCTTGTTCCTATTGTAAACAGAGCAAGGGGAGTTGCAGCTTTCATCCCTGAACAGACATTTTAATTTAACAAGAAGTGTAGATAGTATTGTGGGACTTGTGAAAATTAAAATACCTCTCAAAGCTGTGGAATTGTGAGTTGTGCAAAGAGAGTTATTGTGAGCACAATTCTGTTGAAAGTGGGAAACATGTCTCTCACCTTGAGAACCAGCCTGTTCCAGTATCACACAGTGTGGACCTTACTTCCCTCCAATAGATTCACATTTCCCAGTTTGAATTGCTTACTTAAGTATATGTCTGTGGCAGAATATAAAAAAAAAAGATTGCTCTCCTTTTATAGCATGGGCAGAGATTTTTTTAAATGACACTCTATTTCGTGAATAAGATAATGAGCAACACAGCTTTTTCTCTCCTTATTTTCCTGATATACAGAGGGTACACAAGACTTAAGATATGAGATTTTTCTTTTTAAAACACACGCATTGAGGAATTCATATTTATTCACTGGTGATATATGGAGTTCAAGCTAGATAGTCTTTAAGAATCCTTCAAGGTTTTGGATTCTTTGGTTGCTCAGTCTTTCCATGAGAGGAAATACTGACCTCTGTTGTATCTATTTTTCACCTCTTAGGTCAGGAGCACTGACAGATACTAAAGCATGATTTAATGTTACATTTTCGTTTTAATAAGAAAAATGTATTTCTGAAGGATAGATTGACAAAGGACACGGCGAATTTCCAAAATTAACTGTGAAAGACAGATCATCTAGGCGTGACTGAAAGCCATGCATAACCTTTGTGTTCAAATACTTCGTTTCAAAAATGTCATTTTCTGCTTATTCAATGCTACTGTCATTATGCTATTTTAAGCACTAAAATTTGTGTTCTGGAGCTGAACACGAATTATTGCTTCTATCTTTTGGCTTATTAGAAATAATTTAAAGTTAATTTAAGAGTGATATAAATCACCTTTTTATTTTGGTCGAATAAGGTTACATGTTGAAATTTGCAATGCAAATTTTATTGTCTTAGCAGTATTTTAGCATGTACGTATGGAGTTCAAGACTATTTTTAAGTATAAAGAAATTACATGAATTATTTTACATTTTAATTTCCTAGAGTGAATATAAAATAGAATAAATTATGAGATGACATTGCCTAAAATTTCAGATACTTCTTTATATAGATAAACCTTTTTAAAGCACACATATGACAGTTGAAACATATTTTCATTGCTCTACAAGTTATTTACTAAATATTTGCACTATGATAAAACTAGATGATAAATGAGAAATATTAGTGTACTAGAAAACAAATTGTTTTGTGCTCTTTCAAAGAGAACTAGGAGACTGTAAGAAGCATATTGAATGAAAATCAGATAGTGTACAGATAAAGAGCCCCCCAGTTTTAAGGGAATGGATCCATCTCTTCACCTGGGTCACCTGTAATTTAGTTAATATTTTATTCTGTAAATAATTCTCACTCTTACACTTAAAAAAAAATTGATCAGTACTGCTGGAGATTTAGCTCAGTGGCACTGCACCTGCCTTGCAAGTGCAAAGTCCTGAGTTCAATCCTAGGTACAAAAAAATAAATAAATAAAATAAAATAAATAAATCAATACTAAGGAGGAGGATCAGGAAAAGAACCACTTAAATTATATAAATCTGCATGCATTAGGCAAGACAGAAAGGGAAGGGTCAAGAATCCTGCCTAGGGAATGAGAGAGTTCCCAAAGAACTGCTGTACAGCAGCTAAGGAAGTGGAATAGAGTCCAGAAGGGAGCAAATATGCTGAAGGAAAAGACAACAACATATAATGGGCATCCAAAGCTGAGTCAGGTTTAAGAACTGTCTGCTGTCTGTCCTGGTGTGAGCTGAGGTTAGAGAAGCAGATTGAAAGAGGCAGAATAAGAGGTGAACTTGGGCAGGTGTTGGGGATGAGCATTTCCATATGCAGCTGGGAGTTCACTGCAGGAAGTAAGGTGGCAGGGGACAAGGGACAGGAGAAATGTAAAAGGCTGCCTAGGAATATGTTCTACTAATTCTTAGAGTAACAAAGCTGGTTGAAGTTCTCCAGTGCCAGGAAGTAGGTGCTCACCTTCCAACTGTAAAGGATCTTTACACAAAGTTCATTCAAGCATTCTTTCTGTGGCTTTGATGCCTCGGGCAGTGAAGAAAAGTAAGTGGGTGATTTATATTCTAAAAGTTTATTCTTTCTAGCCAGGAGTGGTGGCATACACCTTCAATCTGAGCACTTGGATGGCTGAGGCAGGAGGACTGCTGTAAGTTCAAGGCCATCCTGAGCTACATAGTGAGATCTTCTCTAAAAAAACCAAAACAACAACAGTAAAACAAAAAAGCAAGAAAGAAAGAAAAAGAGAGAAAGAAAGAAAGAAAGAAAGAAAGGAAAAGAAAGATCTTTTGTTGAGGGGTGTTTACCTTGTTTGTAAACCCATTCCTTTTTTGTGCATTCTGGAGGGGGGGGAACTTTATTCTCATAATGACTTCATGAGGGCCCTGTTCTTTGGATCTTGTCTTAGCCTAATTACCTAATTACCTGCTAAAGGAGATACTGATACCATCATATTAGGGTTTAGGGCTTCAACATAGAATTTTTTGTTGTTGGGAAGAACACAAGTGTGTACTAATTCATGCCTTGAGAAACCTCCCTCTCTGAAGGCTGTAAATTATAGAGAAGCCTGATTATTTCCTCAGGTTTTGCACCCAGAAGCTACACTGTCAGCTTACTTTGCATGCTACCTTCTAGTGTAAGTGACTACATTCTGTCACATTGCATAATGATGATAATCATTATAATCATAAATCAACACAATGAGATATCCAGAAGATAACAAGGCTCCACTATCTTCCCTGCATTGTTCCCTGAACAATGGGTTTCAGTCACAGACGTTTCCCAGCTTTCTCCACCTTACTGGATGGTGTCAGAAGTTTATGTTCTGTCAAAAGGGGCTGGAGTGGGGAGGAGACTTCAGAAGAGGCATGCCTTGGTACACATATATGCTGTGAGTTTCCAGCAGTTATTCTTGAAGCTTAGACATCATTCCCTGGGTAACTGTCTTTTAAAACTCTCCAGGGGGTTGTAATGTGTCAGTGGAATATGTCTCATAAATTCATTTCAAGACTGCCTTTGGGATATCTTAAGAGATCTTATGAACAAAAGCAGACAAATACACTATAATCAACAATACCTGCAGATGGGGAGATTAACTAGTCTAGCCTCGTAGATTTCTTTACATCAATTTCCCCCAAACTATGGGATCCATCTTCATGGAAGCTATTTATCTGAAGTGAGACAGAGATTAAGTAAGTCCAGCAGGCCAGGGAATGTTTATCCTAAATGAAAGCGAGATACGATCATGTATCACAACCACATCAGTAAAAAAGTCTCAAACCTGAGATGTTTTGTGACCGTTTGTGCTCACAGGCCCCGGATTTCTTTTTTATTCTCCCGAGTTTCTCAGTTATTTGTAGCAGGTTATTTATGCTCAAGTTTGTTACTATTATCCAACAAGCTTCATTTCCTGTTAAATATTCTAAGGTAGAGAAGTGAATAGCCTTGGCTTTAAAGTGCTTATCTGTTGGATTAGTCAGTCTGAAGACCAGAATTCCTATCATTCTGTCTGGCTGTTTTTCCATATATGGCAACATTTGACTGTGGATCATTTTTTAAATTATTTATTGGTACATTTTAGGTAGACAATTCATCATTCAGATCTTGTACCTTTACATGATTTATCTTGGTTCTTATTTTTCCCCATTCCCCAGCCTTCCCTTGAACCCCTCCACCCTTCCCTATATACAAAGACTTTGTTTCCATGTTTTTCCTTTTCACATATTTTTTCTTTTCCCTTTTAACCTTTCCCCTATTCCTCCCACCTTCTCTACTCTTTTAGACCTTTTATTCCTATTATACAATATCTATTATACATTTTGGTACTTATTTACACTTTCAGTTTTTAACACCAGAGCAACTATTCAGTATTTACACGTGTGTCTTATTTCACTTAAGAGTATGGCCTCAATGTGCATCCACTTAGCTATAATTATCTCTAGTTTCTCATTCTTTATGGCTGAGTAGTACTCCATTTATATATTTTTTAAAAACACACACATCTTCTTTATCCCATCTCCACTTGAAGGGGAATTGGGCTGATTCCAAATTTTAGCTATTACAGACTGTGCCGCTATAAGCATGGGGGAGCATATATCACTGTGGTATGATTCTTTTAATTCTTTTGGGAAGATACCCAGCAGAGAAATAGCTGGGTCAAATGGGACTTCATTTTTGACATAAGCCTCTGGCTCGAAATGAAGTGGACCATTACTACTTCAGCTTTATAGGGCTGAGTGCAAATCATTTTTGAAAGCTTTCCTATCATATTCAACAATTTTACTACTCTTTCTCTTCTTTTAGTGTCAGCCAAACCGAGACCCCACAGCGATGAATATTCAAAGAAGATCCCTCCTCCGAAGCCTAAAAGGAACCCCAACACTCAGCTGAGCACGTCTTTCGACGAGACCTATATCAAAAAGCATGGGCCTCGCAGGACGTCGCTCACACGGGACTCCTCCCTCTCCCAGGTCAGCAGCCCTGCGGGGGAGCCCGAGGAGGAGGAGCCTGTGTACATAGAGATGGTGGGCAACATCCTCAGAGATTTTAGGAAGGAGGACGAAGACCAGAGCGAGGCCGTCTACGAAGAGATGAAATACCCCATCTTCGACGACCTGGGCCAGGATGCCAAGTGTGATCTGGACCATCACAGCTGCTCCTCACAGTGTGCCACGCCCACGGTGCCTGACTTGGACGCGGCCAGGTCTTCAGTGCCATGCACGCCCAAGGGTCTGCTCTGTGACATTCCCCCGCCCTTCCCCAACCTGCTTTCTCACAGGCCCCCGCTGCTGGTGTTCCCCCCGGCTCCTGTGCACTGCTCCCCCAATTCCGACGAGTCTCCACTGACCCCCCTGGAGGTCACCAAGCTCCCCGTGTTGGAAAACGTGTCTTACATGAAGCCACCGCCAGCCGGAACATCGCCACCCTCTGGCCACGCCAAGCTGGACAAGGACCAGGCCGGAGCCCTGGGTCCTGCTCCGGCCACTGCTGTGCTGTCCTCGTCCCCACCTCCCCCTTCCACTTTGTACCGAACCCAGTCTCCCCATGGCTACCCCAAAAGTCACTCCACTTCCCCATCTCCCGTCAGCATGGGTCGGTCCCTGACCCCGCTGAGCCTCAAGAGGCCGCCCCCATATGACGCCGCGGTGCATTCTGGCAGCCTCTCCCGGAGCTCGTCCTCAGTGCCTCCTGCCACCCCCAGGCCCTTGTCGCAGGACGGGACCAAGATGGTCCATGCCGCGGTGAACACCTATGGCTCAGTGCCCGGTGGTTCTCGATCCCGAACACCCACAAGTCCCTTGGAAGAGCTGACCAGCCTCTTTACCTCAGGACGCAGCCTGCTGCTGAGGAAGTCGTCCAGCGGCCGGCGCTCCAAAGAGCCAGCAGAGAGTAAGTGTGTGCAGTCTAGAGAGGCAGAGAGTAAGCGTGCATGGTGTAGAGTTTCAGAGAGTGAATGTGCATGGTGTAGAACTTCAGAGAGTGAGTGTGCACAGTGTAGAGCCTCAGAGAGTGAGCATACTAGCTCTAGAGCCACAAAGAACCTGCATGCACAGTCTAGGGCCTCAGCGAATGAGCGTGCATGGTCTAGGGCCTTAGCGAGTGACCTTGCGAAGTCTAGGACCTTAGATTGTGAGCGTGCATGGTCTAGGGCCTTAGCGAGTGACCTTGCGAGGTCTAGGACCTTAGATTGTGAGCGTGCAAGGTCTAGAACCTTAGAGGGTGAGCGTGCAAGGTCTAGAACCTTAGAGGGTGAGCGTGCAAGGTCTAGGACCTCAGAGGGCGAACACATATGGTCTGGGATCTTAGAGAGTGAGCGTGCAAAGTCTAGGATTTTAGAGAGTGGGAGCACATGGTCTAGGACCTTAGATGGTGAGCAAGTAAGGTCTAGGATTTTAGAGAGTGAGCGTGCGTGGTCTAGGACCTCAGAGGGTGAGCGTGCACAGTCTAGGACCTTAGAAGGTGAGCGTGCGTGGTCTAGGACCTCAGAGGGTGAGCGTGCACAGTCTAGGACCTTAGAAGGTGAGCGAGCGTGGTCTAGGACCTCAGAGGGTGAGCGTGCACAGTCTAGGACCTTAGAAGGTGAGCGCGTGCGGTCTAGGACCTCAGAGGGTGAGCGTGCACAGTCTAGGACCTTAGAAGGTGATCGTGTATGGTTTAGGACCTTAGAAGGTGAGCGTGCATGGTCTAGGACCTTAGGGGGTGGATGGGCCTGGTCTAGGGGGAAGATGATGCGCGAGCAGGATCTAGGGCCTCAAAGAGTCAGCACGCATGGTCTAGTGTGAGAGAGCCTGAAAGCCTAGAGCAAGAATCAAAAACCAAAGGAAAAAGACCATGACAGACAGGTAAAGTGCAGTGTCTGTGATCTTTGTTCCTTTTTGTTCGGATGGAAAAATGTGCCGTGCATTATTTTACTCTGGACAACGAAACATATAATGTATTCTGAATGTGAACCAGAAGAATTCAAACGGACAGTCTCTACATCATTAACACTGAAAAGAAGCATAACCCGGGGTGGCGGTGCAGATCTCAGTCCCAGGTCTCTGGCAGGTGGAGGCAGGAGAACTGCAAATTTGAGCCCGGACTGGACAGCTTAAGTACTTGGAACATGTACAGTATCAAAACAACAAACAAACAAATAAGTTTTAAAAGGAGTGTAAAATCTAAATTCCTACAATGGGCCCAGGAATTCTAATGGAGAAAGCAGAGACCACTATTGAATTTTTAGGTAAAAACTTTGACTTTAATGGGAAAAATTACAGAATTATGAAATGTCAAAACGTATCCTTCATTTTGAGACAGCTTGAGGAAGTTGGTACCAGAAAAGCTTTGTGGAAAAGAAAGCAGTATGAATAGAATTTAGTATCTTTAAAAAAAAAAAGCAGAACCAATTCCCTCTACATATTTGAGGTGGTTATATTCTCTCCTTCAGTGCAAACCAGAATAGTCACAGTTTTCCTTTTAAAAGTGATTCACGTCTTGTTTTTATGGCACTCTTGCTAGATCCATTAATCTATAAATAACATATAAGTCCTTAAGGTGATGAAAACTACTTTCACCACTTGATTTCCAAGATCAAGAAATTTCTCCATCAGAATGACTAACCCTTGTATAATCCCTAAATAAATCACTTCACTTATACACAGTAAAATAGATCCCATGCATTTTCTTCATGTCCATTTCATTAAATTGTACTAGTTTCTTTTATTTAAAAGATACTTAGGCACCTAAACTGATGATGATCATTTACATCTCCAGTGATATCACCCTACAATTCTATTATCTATGATAGTGAGAATTCTCCCTAAAGGAGAAGAAATCCTCAATACTTTTTTTTTGGTAATAGGAATCAAACTCGTGACCTTGTACTTGCTAGGCAGGCAGAAGCATCATTGAGCTAAATCCCCAGCCCAATCCTCAGTACTTTTTAGGATGAAGATTGTGATGGCAATCTTAGATGTAGCTAATATTCACAGGTAGTTTTACACCACTCTTTATTTCTCTCCTTCTTTTTTCCTTCCTTTTTCTTTTTCTTTGTTTTTTTTTTAGAGAGATTTACGAAAGCATTAGTTACTTAAATAATTCCTCCCAAAACATTTTAATTGCCTAGCCAAAAAGCAGCAGTTTCTAATACTTGAGGCATGTGTAGAGCTTACGTTTGTATACACATACATCAAATTATTTTACAAATTGAATTAAAAATTAGGAACAGCTTCTTTTAGAGAAATTACTAGCAAATAGGACAATTTTGCCCCCAGGGATACTTTGCAGTGTCTGGAGAATATATTGGCTATCACAGTTTTGGGGCTACTGACATTTATTAAACAGGGTATGCAAGATAACAGGGGGATGGATACGAATATATTATCAAGTCTACAATGTATATAGAGCCAGGATTGGGACACCTGGCCCAGATAATTTACTAAAATTTAAATTTTCCTCAACTTTATTAATTTGGTTTTCTCACAGGTAAAGTAAGGCTTACAGAATAAGAGAAAAATAAATAAATAAAACAATTTACTTTTAAAATACATTAATTATGCATGTAAAATTAATGAAAGTTTTATCTCAAAATTGGAGAGACTGGGGACTTCTCTTTACCTATAAACTCCTTTGGAGAAGCGTTAACAGTTCCAGCTGGCAGCTCTGCCAATTAACTAGAAAAAGTATGTGTAAAAGAAATGATTAACTGATGAAGCTATTTCAAGAAAAATCCATCTGTTAGAATCATCCTATGTGGTGTATGTTGCAGACTTTCCTATCCTACTTCAGAATTTGTGCTTCTAAAGCAGAGCTGTGTGTATGGAAAAGTGATCCAGGCTCTTTCTAGCTTTTAGGGAGCCATGGATTGGCTTCCTTTCCACATGCTATGAGCCACATATCAGTTCTTTAGAGGAAGGACAGGCCTGAACTTTTATTAGCTTCAGTATTATATTTTATAAAACTGGTAAAGGAGAAAAATGCAAATTGTACAAATTAATGAAACTGCTATTTGCTCTTCATTCTAGAGGAAAAGAGAAAGATACCATCTGATGCTACCAAAATCATAGAGGTTCTTAAATTATTCTGTATGCAAAAAGTAGAGTCAAAATCGTTGATATTAACCAATAAATGTTGTTGCAGTACTCCATTGCTCTTGCCTGACAGGTTTTGTGGATACCTAGTGATACTTCAGGGACAGAATAAGAATAAGGACATGAAACACTCATGACTCTGGAGTATTTTATTTTCTTACCTCTCTAGGAATATTTCTTACATTTCAGGGATTAAAAGAAGACTAGTATCTTTGTCTTTCTTGCCTCTTTTGCTTTAATCAGAAGAGCTAATTTTTATAATTTTATGGCATTCAATCTAAAACAAAAAAAATTGCCCCAGAGCACTGGAATTACAGGTGTGTACCCATCTTCCTGGCATAATATTTAAAGAAAGCTATACCAAACAAAACATATCTTCCACCTCATTTTTAATAATCTATGAAAGGCACAGTATGTATAATGAAACAGTTCCATATTTTAAAGGATTGCAAATGTTGGTGGGTACTGGGAGACAGGAAAGTCATAAGATAGAAGTGGTAGATGATGACTAAATTTCATATTATATCACAATTTTCTAAACCTTGCCCTCAGATTAAACATTTTAGGAAATATTTTTCCCCAGTAGCTGCAATGCTGTTATGTTGTTTTATTTATGACTAAATGAATACACTTGATAATCAGTATAACTTAATTTCTTACATATTTTATTATATATTTTAAATGTGTACAGAAAGATGGATTATTCAAGGTAGGCAATAAGTGACTAACTCATATGTTAAAGCTATATATTTTTGTGCCCACTTAAGGAGTACACCAGGTACAAATATATTTCACAAGAAACTTTTGGAATTCAGGGTTTAATTTTTCTACCTATCATGTTTACCTTGCTTTTTTCCACATATTGCTATTTTATATATCCCCTAACAACCTTGGGTTTGAATCTTTGGAACACCTTGGTTATGAATGAGCTGTTTGCTCTCAATAAACTACATGCAAAGAATTTTAAAAAATTAACAAACAAGAGGAAATTTTTTCCTCATTGTAGTTGGTACTGTGCTGCTAAAATACAACACTGGGGGCTGAGTAATTCCTAATAGCAGACATTTATTAGCCTTGTGGTCTGGGAAGTTGGGAGGTCCAAGAGCATGGCGCCAGGAGGCTCTGTCACCCTACTGCAGAATGTGGATGGACAGGGCCAACAAAAGGGAGGGATCAACAGAGCCACATTCACTTTTGTCACATATCCCTCACAGTAACTAAGCCACTTGCCTGAAAATGGGCTGAATGCATTCAGGAGAGAGCGGAGCTTCACAACTTCATGGTGTCCTACTTACTGCACCCTCACCTCCCAACACTGTGACACAAGGATGAAGCTTCTAACACATGGATCTAGGCACTGCTGGAGAAGCCACTGCTACAATTTATTCTAATGAAGCTTTTTAAAGAATCTTTAAATAAATCCAAAAATAATTTTTAAATTAAAAAGAATGATTTTGGAAAGGTATCTTTGAAAAACACATTTTAAATATACACTGTTCTCATGCATATTGAAGAGTCTTCAATGAGAAATTCTGGGGGTTGAGCCTGGAGTGTTGACTACTTAACAATTCCTGGTGACATTGATGCCTTCTGTCAAACAGTAGCTTGGTGACATATGGTTAAACATTAGCAAAACCATTGACTTGTATGCAAGAGGGAAATCTACAATATATTGTTTCTTTTATCTGAGTTTATATAGCAGAAAGACGGGAGACAAGAGAAAGAAAATGGACATAGCTTGAAATAAGTGAATACTCTTTTGCTTCCCTTAACTAAGTGATTGAGTAGGTGGTAGTTTGCTAAGAGGACATTGGAAGG